TGCCAGTGTGTGGGGACAAGGCCAGGTTATCCAGAGGCTGGGCTTGGGCTCCTGGGTCGTGGTGGGCTGCAGTGGACCTGACGAAGTCTCCTCTGTCACTTCAGGGGTCCCCGTGCTCCATCTCATCTCCACGCCCTTCCCTGCTGTCTGGCACACCCCTGCGGACACCGAGGCCAATCTCCACCCGCCCACGGTACACAACTTGAGCCGCATTCTCGCCGTGTTCCTGGCCGAATACCTCGGGCTCCAGTGAGCTGGCCCAATGCCTGTGGAGAGGACTGTGAGAGAGAAGGTCCCAGTGCGGGACCAGTGGCGCTCAGGCAGGACCTGCCTAGGGTATGCTTGCTTGTCCTTTTCACACCTTTGTCTCCTAATCGTGCTACAATTGGAAGACTTTCTTTCTTTGTTTTTTTTTTTTTTTTTTTTTTTTTTTTTTTTTTTGAGACGGAGTTTCACTCTTGTTACCCAGGCTGGAGTGCAATGGCGCGATCTCGGCTCACCGCAACCTCCGCCTCCTGGGTTCAGGCAATTCTCCTGCCTCAGCCTCCTGAGTAGCTGGGACTACAGGCACGCGCCACCATGCCCAGCTAATTTTTTGTATTTTTAGTAGAGACGGGGTTTCACCATGTTGACCAGGATGGTTTCGATCTCTTGACCTCGTGATCCACCCGCCTCGGCCTCCCTAAGTACTAGGATTACAGGCTTGAGCCACCGCGCCCGGCCAACTTTCTTTCTTTTGATTGTCTCAAGCTGCCACCCTTCAAGGACAGAGAAGAGACCGCTGTGGGATGACAGCCAGAGGAATAAACTTGGCCCCTCCCCAGAGGTAAATACTTGGTCTGAAGGTTTGCAGGGACCAAATGCTGTTGTTTTAGTCAGTGAACTAAAAGAGTAAAAGACTGCGGGGTGTGGTGGCTCATGCCCATAATCCCAGCACTTTGGGAGGCCAAGACGGGTGGATCACGAAGTCAAGAGATCAAGACCATCCTGGCCAACATGGTGAAACCCTGTCTCTACTAAAATACAAAAATTAGCTGGGGGTGGTGGCAGGTGCCTGTAATCTCAGCTACTCGGGAAGCTGGGGCAGGAGAACTGCTTGAACCTGGGAGACAGAGGTTGCAGTGAGCTGAGATCGTGCCACTGCACTCCAGCTTGGTACCTGGCAACAGAGCAAGACTCTGTCTCAAAAAATAAAAATAAAATAATTGAGGCCGGGTGTGGTGGCTCACACCTGTAATCCCAGCACTTTGGGAGGCCAAGGTGGGTGGATCACGAGGTCAGGAGATTGAGACCATCCTGGCCAACATGGTGAAACCCCGTCTCTACTAAAAACACAAAAAACCGACTGAGGTAGTGGTGCATGCCTGTAATCCCACCTACTTGGGAGGCTGAGGCAGGAGAATCGCTTGAACCCGGGAGTCGGAGGTTGCAGTGAGTTGAGATCATGCCACTGCACTCCAGCCTGGCAACAGAGTAAGACTCTGTCTCAAAAAGTAAATTAAAAAAAAAAAAAAAAGTTTAAAAATAGAATAAAAGACTGTCACTGGTCTGGATCAGTGATGCCACCCAACCAAATGAATTCTCTGTGGCTTGTTTTGTGTCAGTTCATTCTCCAGAATGGCAGCCTTGCTACTGCACCAGTCCTAACCTAACTCCCACGTGGGGCACACAGAGGATGTATTCACAACCAGGCACAGAGGAGACGGAAGCTGTTATTTTGGAAGTCCAGATTCTGCCAGACCCAATGGGCAATAAGCCAGTGTTTCTGGCTGTGGTGGTTCATGCCTGCAATCCCAGCTCTAGGGAGGCAGAGGTGGAAGGATCGCTTGAGCCCAGGAATTTGAGACCAGCCTGGGCAATACAGTGAGACCCCATTCTCCACAAAAAGGAAAAAAATAAAAAGTGTAACAAGCGTTTCTGCAAAGTATTGCTTGTATAAGACAGGTGTGGTGGTGCACACCTATAGTCTCAGCTACTTGCGAGGCTGAGAGGATCCCTTGAACCCAAGAGTTCAAGACCAGCCTGGGCCACACAGTGATACTCTGTCTCAAAACAACAACAAACCCCAAACATGCTGCAGAACTCGTGTAAATAGATGTGGCATGACAAAGGGGATCTGAAATCCAAGAAGCTGGTGAGACAGCATAAAATGAGTTTTCTTGGCTGGGCGCGGCGGCTCATGCCTGTAATCTCAGCACTTTGGGAGGCTGAGGCAGGTGGATCGCCTGAGGTCGGGAGTTCGAGACCATCCTAGACAACATGGTGAAACCCCCTCTGTACTAAAAATACAAAAATTAGTCAGGCAGGGTGGAAGGTGCCTGTAATCTCAGCTACTCAGGAAGCTGGGGCAGGAGAATCACTTGAACCTGGGAGGCGGAGTTTGCAGTGAGCCAAGATCACTCCAGCCTGGGCAACAGAGTGAGATTCCATCTCAAAAAAAAAGTTTCCTCACCACATGATGTGAATTTTTAAGACAGAATCCAGAGGCTCCCAAAGTATTTCACTATGGAACCCTTTTTAGTGAGAAGCACTTCATAGTACTAGCATACCTTGACCGGGCGCGGTGGCTCGTACCTGTAATTCCAGAACTTTGGGAGGCGAAGGCTGGTGGTTCACTGGAACTCAGGAAATCAAGCTCAGCCTGGACAGCATGGTGAAACCCCATCTCTACTAAAAATACAAAAATTAGCCGGGTGTGGTGGCAGGCGCCTGTAATCCCAGCTGCCCTGGAGGCTGAAGCAGGAGAATTGCTGGAACCCAGGTGGTAGAGTAGAGATGGGGTTTCTGCAGTGAGCCAAGATCATGTCACTGCACTGCAGCCTGGGCAACAGAGTGAGACTGTCTCAAAAAACAAAACAACAACAAAAAGAACTAGGATACCTCAGAAGATGCTTTGGAAAACACGGAGTTTTGAAAGTCTGAGAGCATCTATGGGAGGAATGGGTAAGACAGACCTAGATTGACTGCAGAGTTGTTAGAGCACACTGTTTCCTTTCAGCTGTGGGCATAGCCATGTGAGATGGCAGGTGTAATCGCAAACTACAACGAGAAAGTATTTCCCAGCCCTACCTAATTCTCAGACTCAGCTGGGGTGCTTATTAAACAATGCAGACTGCGTGTGGCGGCTCATCCTTGCAATCTCAGCACTTTGAGAGGTAGAGAGGTGGGAGGGTCTACTGAGCCCAGGAAGTTTTTTTGTTGGTTTTTTTTTTTTGAGGTGGAGTCTCGTTTTGTTGCCCAGGCTGGGGTGCAGTGGTGCGTTCTCAGCTCACAGCAACCTCTACCTCCCAGGTTCAAGAGATTGTCCTGCCTCAACCTCCTGAGTAGCTGGGACTATATATAGGCACATGTCACCACGCTTGGCTAATTTTTTGCATTTTTAGTAAAGACGGGTTTTCACTGTGTTAGCCAGGGTGAACTCAAACTCCTGGCCTTGTGATCTGCCAGCCTCGGCCTCCCAAAGTGCTGGGATTACAGGTGTGAGCCACTGTGCCCGGCCCTTGCTGTTCTGAAGGATACACTCTGGTGGATACCCAGCTGCTCAGCAAACCAACTCAAAAGAAAAACCTGAGACAGACAGAGCCTGGAAGCAGAGCTCTACGCTGCGCTTTGTGCCTGCAGGTTTATGACCGTGCAGGTTCATGTCTTCTTTTTTTCCCCTACTTACAAAAACATGCGAGGGTTTATGACTTTGATAGAGACTTAGCAATAAGCACAGGTGCCAGGCCATGGTTGGAGGATTATTATACAGTGAAGGTGAGCATCTTCCCTGCAAATCACCTCCAGGTCTGAAACTCGGGATATCAAATGAGAGGGTAAACATAGGTCCCCAATTTAGGTTCTCCTACATTCGCTGACATTTACTGAGCATCTACTATGTGCCAGGCATCATGAGAACTTTTTTTTTGAGATGGAGTTTCACTCTTGTCACCCAGGCTGGAGTACAGTGCCATGATCTTGGCTCACTGCAACCTCCGACTCCTGGGTCCAAGTGACTCTCCCTCATCAGTAGCTGGGATTACAGGCCACCACACCCAGTTAATTTTTTTTTTTGAAACGGAGTCTTGCTCTGCGACCCAGGCTGGAGTGCAATGGCCCAATATCGGCTCACTGCAACCTCTGCCTCCTGGGTTCAAGTGATTCTCCTGCCTCAGCCTCCCTAGTAGCTGGGACTACAGGCACATGCCACCATGCCCAGCTAATTTTTTTTTTTTTTTTTTTTTTTTTTAGTAGAGATGGGGTTTTGCCATGCTGGCCAGGCTGGTCTCGAACTCCTGACTTCAGGTGATCCGCCCTTAGCCTCCCAAAGTGTTGGGATTACAGGTGTGAGCCACCGAGGCTGGCTTAAATTAGTTTTTTGTAGAGATGAGGTCTTGGTATGTTGCCCAGGCTGGTGCTAAACTCCTGGCCTCAAGTGATACTCTTGCCTCAGCCTCCCAAAGTTCAGGGAAGGTGTGAGCCACCACACTTGGCCTTTTAAAAAACACTATTTGTGTCTTTTATCAGTTTGTAATTTTCCAACCATCATGTCTTTTAATATTGTCTTTGTACGTATTCTTTCTTTTGATTCTGGAATGCCAATTAAACGTTATTGTTTTTTCCTTTAAAAAAGCCACTTGTATAAATGTGGTAGATCTTTTTGCTACTTAACCCAGCTATTGGGTGACTCTTGGTTATTGCATTTCTCATTTTTTCTCCCTACACAACACTGATGTAAGCATTTTTGATTTGTGAAAGTTATGTCAGTGGGCTTTCTTTCCCTTTCCTACCTACTAGGCCAGTTTGATTTTTTTTTTTTTTTTCTTGAGACATAGTTTCCTTCTCGTTGCCCAGGCTGGAGTGCAATGGTGTGATCCTGGCTTACTGCAACCTCAGCCTCCCAAGTTCAAGAGATTCTCCTGCCTCAGCCTCCCAAGTAGCTGAGATTACAGGCATGCACCACCACACCTGGCCGATTTTTTGTATTTTTAGTAGAGATGGGGCTTCTCCAGGTTGGTCAGCTCGTGACATCAGGTGATCCACCTGCCTCAGCTTCCCAAAGTGCTGGGAAGGCATGAGCCACCATATCCGGCCTTGATTTTTTTGTTGTTTTTTACAGTTTTGGCTTCCTTGCTGATAATTCCAAGTTCTTTTTAAATTTTTAAACATAGTTTAAATGTTGTATTATAATCTGTGATTGACAGTTTCACCATGTGAAGCCTATGTGGGTTTCTTTGTTTCTGTTGGTTCTTGTTCATATTATTTCCATTTGTGTTTGGTTATTTGTGTACTACTCATTACCTGAAAAATTATTTGTGGCGGGCTGGGTGCGGTGGCTCATGCCTGTAATTCCAGCACTTTAGGAGGCTGAGGCAGGCAGATTGCTTGAGGTCAGGAGTTCAAGACCAGCCTGGCCAACA